CAAATCAGGAAAATAGGTAGAGAAAGCAAATGTTTCAGTCCTTATTATCACTCTAACATGAAATGCAAGAAACTTGGTGATGATTGCAAGCACATATTTCCTCTGGAAGCACCTGTTTGTGGTGATAATACTTTCCATTTTTCTTCCCTATGAGCTTTCTCAGAGTCCATCTTTACAGTGCAGCATCTTTTTAGGCAGGCACTCTGTAAACCAGCATCTTATGCATTGTACATGAGATAACAGTCCTGATAAATAAAAAAAGGGTGTTGCTGAACTAGAAAATGGAACCCCACTGGTTTGTTTATAGTCAGTTCCAAAGGTATAAATTCAGCTAATCAACAGCTACCTGCTTTAAACAAATGTATGCTTGTTGTTCCATAACAGAGCACCTGATAGCACAGGGTCTCCTGGCTACTGGGTCAGACCTAGAGCAGGTTTGGGTCTGAATTCATGTCCTGCTTTAAAATGAAGTGGGAGAATACTGTGGCAAACACACATGCAATAATTTTCTCTACAAATAGTTGATTCTTCTGGCTAAGATTAACTTTGTCTCCTTACTGCAAGGCTTCATACCCTGCCCAAACTTCTCAACAGCATTAGCTACTGCAGCATCACTGATTTTCTCAATCACAGAAATGTTCAGGTCACCTTGAACCTTGCTAAGATTTACTCTTTGGATTAAGCCTGTGCAGGAGATGCAGGCAGACCTACCTAAGTGTTATTTGTGGTTTGAGAAGTTTCCTGTGGTCCTGATATTTAAGGGCTACAGAATTGTGCCTGCTGGATCTCTTTTCTGTCTCTCTGTGCCAGATGTCAATCCATGACATTACTTTGCTTTTCAGACCAGTTTTACATTCAAAAACTGAATAAATTAGGTGATTTCCCCCCTTTTCACATCATCTTTTACAAAGGTGATACAAAAATATTCATACAAAACTGGCTAGAAAGAGTTAAGAGTAAAAATTTCCTCTTTTCTTTATGAAATACTGTTATTGAATAATTTGAATTCTTAGATGTAACTAGGCTGTATGAAGAACTAGAGCAGCATGTATGCAATGTTTCTCTTTGGTTTTCACTAGTGTTGTCGTTATAATAAAAGAAACCAGAAAAAATAAGAAATACAGGTCTAATGTCTTAAATTTTCATTCTGAATTTTACATTTTCACTGACTTCTCTGTGATGAGCACCTCATTTACTAAAATAATTATTTTCAAAACTTTCTTAGACAGCGCCTCCCCAGGTAAATGTGGGGGGGAGGTTTAGAGCTATATGATTTAAACATTTTGAATGGACATAAGCTTGCAAGTCTGTGAGCAATCTTTCAGACTGCAATTTTAAATGTCTCCTAAACCACAAATTTGGGGATGATGTTATCTGGTAATTTATGAAAACTCATTCAAAATTTTAAAATTGTCGTGTTTGTTTTGTTTTATTGGAGAGCACACCAAGCTAAGCTGCTTTCAGCTGCTTGTTCTGATTCCTGTGCTACCTCCCAAGTTGTGCCAGTCTGGCTGCTTGCGTCATTGGGGGAAGAATAAAGTCTAGGATGGACTTCAGTTTAAAATAACCCTTTTCCCCCCCTGATGCTGCTGAAAAAAGCATTTGTCAAGCTCCAGCCTAAGGGATTTCTATTGGCATGGTAAGAAAGGCAAGACTTGGTGTGCCTGTGCAGGCCAGCAAGCAAAGAGGAAGGTGGAAAACGTTGCCATGGGAGGACAAGTTCTTTTAGGCACACTTTGTGCTGGAAAGGCAGACTTGGATTTATGAATTTATGAGCAATGGAGCTGCTGCAGAGCTGTTCTCCCTGTGGCCATTGACACAGAACTCGTGTGTGTTCCTTCCAAATAAACCTTACTGCAGTGAAATACCTGCCCCTTGTCCTCCATTCCTGCCCACAGAGGGAGCAGCCTGGCAGTCCCCAAACCCCAAGCAGCCATTCCCCAGGGAAGGGTCCCCATCACATTTGTGGGCGTTTAATAATCACCCAGAAACCCAGCTTTTGGGAAGGGAACCTTGAGAATGTTGCAGCCTTGCCAGGTCATTTGAAAGTAAAGTGTGTACTTGACAGAGCATTGAGGTGGGATCTGCTGTTTCCCCTGGCCTAAAGAGGCCCACAGACTTTTGGCAGGGGTGCCATGAATGAGAAGATGAGAATGAAAACAGCATTACTGAACCCGTTCATTTAGATATTTACAGTGATTTAACAACACTGATGTAAACTGAAGCTCTACCATGAAAGACCAAGGAGGTTATTTACCAAACCCCTGCTGTGAGGATGGCATAAATATCTCAACAGTTTGCTTGTTTTAAACCACAATGAGGCAAGACCTTTACTATTGCCACCCTGCTGGCTTTTAAATTCCAATAGTACAGAAGAGAGTTAACTCTTCACTTTTGTGTACTGTGGCAAATCCTACATAGCAATGCAAAAATATTTGCTATCTTAAAATCAACCCTGTGTTCCTAATCCTTTTTAAACATCATCTCTGTTTTGCAATCATCATTTTGTGTTATGTATCTAGCCTATAAAATAGGTATTGCTTTATGGATTGCCAACAAATCTCGTGCTCTTAACAGCACTGCTTATGTATGCTCACTGTAATTTCTTCTTGCTGTTCATACATAATGAGCAAGTCACTGAAGCCTCTAAGCTGTTGCCCACTGTCTAAATAATCTATTTGCCAATGAAAATGAATTCTACAATAGTTTCTTAACTTCAGAATAGCAAACGTATTACAGTATAAAATAAAAAATCTTTTTGCCTAATATTGGTGGCCACTAGGTCATCCATATAAATCTTATAGTAGTGATAGTAGAAGGCTCAGTATACTTGGTTTATATTTGACAAGTATTGCAAAAAAAGTCACACCCCTGCAACAGAGGATGCAGCAAGTATGCTCAGGCTGCAAACTAACAGAGACAAAAAAATGATACAGATACACATTTTCAGGATTGAGATTTTCCATCTGCCTCTGAAAATGGATTAATGTAAGAAAAAGTTTTCTGTGCAAGACCAAAAGATGCAACACAATCTGATAAATGAACAATTGGACTTAATAACAAAATGGCTTTTTAGCTGACAGATGTTTCACCAGACAATTTAGTCAGAGACCAGATGGCCAAAGAGATACATGGTGGAAATAATTTCATAGGATGACTCCACAGAAGGAAAAACTCATCATTTGGAAGTTTGAAATGTCAAAGACTCAATTAATGGAATTAGTGTGTAATTCCTGTGCAGTTTTCCTGTTGAAAGCTGTGCTCAAGCTCATCCTCAGAGCCCCACTGCAAGGTGAAGCAGTGAGCTCCTGGCTGGAGCTCTGACTCACACGGGGCTCACTGCCTCTCCACCTCCCTTCCTGACAGCTGCTTTTGTCTGCAACATCAGCCTGTGCCACTCACTGCTCTGCACCAAGGCTTTGTCTGCCTCTCCTCTGGTCCTGTGGAGTGACAGGGAGAGGTAAGACCTAAAACACAACTAGGAGGAGAATTCTGGGAGATGTAGGAGAGGTGAAGTTTACTGTTGCCTTACTGAAGTTGCATCTAAACTTGGACACAAGAACAACATCTGTTTTTATATCTAGCAGAAAAGGCAGTTTCCAAAGACAGAAGTCTTTTTTTTTTAAATAAATTATAATATTTTCAACTTTCAGTTCAATTTTTTTCTATCAAAACCTACATGACAGCATTATTAGTTACAACCACTACAAGTCAAAGTGTCTTTGGAATACTCTGCCTCCATCTTCTGACTGCTCAGGGAAATGCAGTGACTAGTTTGTAGTCAGACATTAACTCACAGAATCATAGAATGGCTTGAGTCAGAAGAAAACTTAAAGACCTTTTATTCACAAAATTTTATATATTTTCAAGACCAAGGCTTTGAATATTTGGGTGAAACTTTGTTGAATTCAGTCATTGCCTTTGCTAGCTAATACTGACAAATGTTGCTTTCTACTGAAAAATCATCTTTTCTTACAGATTCCTGAAAAAGAATTCATGACTTTGCTTCATTTTTAATATCTTTAACACAGCACTTGAATTCCTACCTGATTAATGTAGAAGGTTTTGATGGCACAATGTCACTTCATACAGCCATGGCTTGTCATTGTTTTTCCACATACTTTTTTCTCATTTAGTGTCTGTGACTCCTTAATTTTTTTAGGTTTGATACCTGCATTATCAGTTAGTAAATTTGCCTTCTTTGTTTCTCTTTTAACGAAAAGCTCTTAATATATAAGGTTTGACCAAAACTCAACTGAGAGCAACAGTCATGCATCCCACTTACCCCCTGTATTTGGATTTCTGACCCATTGTTGCAACCAGATGTTGAGTGCTCTGCACCCACCATTAAATGACAACTGATTTTTGTTAATGCAGTAAGATGGGAAAATTCACCTATGCTGTCCAATATCATATCGTACAATTCATGTGTATCCACACAGCTAAAGCAGAAAGCAAATTACTCATTTATTTCATTGCTGATAGGCAAAACAACATGAAATAATTTTTTTCTAAATTTCTTAACTTCAAATGAAAAGAACATTCAAGGCAAGGCCATGCATAGAGCAACCTTTCATCCATATTGGTCTCATCTGTCATGCTCACATCTAACCCCTTCATTTCCCAGAACTGAAACAGATTTAAGGGGGCCTTCTCTGGATCTTAAGTTCAACTCTTGCTCATGCAAGGAGGTGTGTGTGTAGAGAGGTCAGTGGAGACCTGCAGGTGACAAAAATCCACTGACATGCTGCACTCATTGACTGTTTTCCCAAGATTTCCTGAGCCAATGCTTCCCAGACCAGTGGACCATAGGAAAAAGGCCAAATGATGTCAAATGTGAGGATGAAGATGCCACAGGGAGGCAGACTACTCTCTCTGGGGTACTGTACCACACCTTGCATCACTGGCACCACCACAAAATGAGACAAAATAGAGGCACGGCAGAGCCAGCTCAAATTGCTCCTCAGTATTAACTGCCCAATTCCATGTGTCCCTGCTAGGTCTTCTGGAGGATGGGAAATTGGCTCACACAGGTGTACCTACAGCATCAGCCACAGCTGGAATGCTGAATGCTGAGAAGAGGAGCAACTGTGGCTCTCAGTGTGCAAACCCCATAGCCCACAGCATGGGAGCTACAACACAGAGACAGAATGGCTTCAGGACCACTGAGGTATGAGTATGATTATGGTCCCTATTGCCCAGCACTAGCTTCAACCAGGCCTAAGTTACTTTTGTGACAGCCTTTCTCTTTGCAGTGAAACTGTATTCAATGTCTTGAGATATGAGAAAATGGTGCCAGGCTGCACTACAGGCATAGCATGATTGAGCTGAGTACCTCTGGCAATGCTTCATGCCTGAACAGCCACAGAATTGATGTTTTATTTGTCAATCACTGTAGCACACACTTGCTACAGTAAAAAAAAAAAGCCCCAATGCTCATTTCTTTCCAACTCAGGCCAGTTGTGGCATGTATCATACAAACTACTTAGATTAATTATCTGAAAAGGAACATGTTTTCCCTTAATTGCTGTTCTGCTTAAAATATGTGCACTGCATGAACCCTGGCTCATCCAAAGCTGGACATGAAGCTTGAAAAAGTCAATGGGTGTCTTTTCAATAACTTCAGTAGGCTTTGGATCAGATCCTCCCCCCTTTTCCCCCTCACTTATGTGTTGTGTACATTGCATACATTGTAAGGACAAGGCTTTGGGGCTATACCAAAGTCCAGCCTTCTCCTGCCACAGCTGCCTACCCACCCACCTGCCTCCTACAGCCTCCTTCCACTTGCTGCCCTGTTTGCACAGCAGCTGCTGAGCTGCTGCAGAATAAAGAAAGCCAAAATCTATGGCTGGTTTACTGCTTCCTTCGTTTCTCATATGAGAAGGTGTTAGCTAAACATTAGGGGAAGGAAGACTTCCTTGTCTTCTGGGTTATCTGCAGATGTAGCAGACAAAGTCTTTTACATGGTCCTTGGCATTTCTGGGGGAATCTCAGTTTCTACTTTGAGAAGTGCTTGCCATGCTGCTGTTGCTGCTTCCCCTACTTTTTCAGGGGAGTCTCCTCTTGCTACAATATCATAGAATTTCACATCTGGGGAGAGGGGGACTGTAAAGGTTTGGCAATCACAGAATGAGCAGTCATGGGTGAATGTTTACATCCCTGTGGGAATCTGTCAAAGGTACACTGCACTTCCTTCTGGGTGAGTGTGAATTGAGCCTTGAGGTATTCCCAGAGTGGAATCATAAATAACATCTTTTACATCGAGTTTTACCCTCTGTGAATAGGATGCTCCCTGAATTTGCATTACAGTTCCACAAAATTTGGCACAGCAGTAGTTAAAGGTGTAATATTGGCATTCAGTCTCCTGCAGACAATGGTGAGTGGCCACTATCCCCTCAGCTTTTTCACCATTCTCCAAGGGATACAATTGTTTTTCTTATCTGTACAATGCTGGCTGTATTGGCAGCCCTCTTAAGCATAATTTTTACCTTTTCTTCCAGTTTTTGCTTTATCTCCTTTTCTTTCTGCAACTGTTTGTGCAGCTGCTCAGTTTCCAAAAATAGTAACAATTCAGTTGTTTTCCTGCCCTCTATTTCCTCTCTCAGATTTTGTTTCACACTGCTATGGTTTTTTTCCTACCTAATTTCTACAATAATTGTCTTTCCCTATGCTCTGTTGAAGCGAACAGAACTTTAAAATTATCTTTCTCAGTTATAAGCTTGTTATTGGGTTTCCAATCTTTCTTTTATTTCCCTCTCAAAAGCCAGTGATGACTTTAATACTCCATTTTCTGATTTCAAAGCAGCATGTTCTATATATAATATATTTGAGGGAAGGACTCTTTGATTCCCTTTTGCATGTAAGATAAGTGAGCCTCCAATACTGCACAAATAATTGCTTCGTCTTTTCAGAATTTTTGGGCCCATTTCTTTCCTGCCTGGGAAGGAGCACGTTCATACTTCTGTAACTGTTTATCCATGGCAATCCTGCTGACTACACCAATTCTTCTGTCACATAAAAAATTAGGAAAGGCAGACCCCCCCTTGCTTTCTGTGTTGTCTGCAGATGTAGTGGGCCTGGGGGCCTTCCCTTCCTCACTCAGTATTATCTGCCTGTCTGGGAGCCTGGGAGACCTTCACAGACAATATTTCAGAGTAAGCACTCTGAGTCTGGGGAGGTGCCAGAGGCACAGAGTGGTGGCACAGTAATTCTGGTCAGGAGTGCAATCCCTGATGCAGAACTGACATGCATTGCACTGTAAGTCTGGGCAAACTCAGTAAGACTCCACATTCACAAATAGGGCAATTTCTTGCCTCTTGGACAGAGTAAGGTCCACAAACTGCTGTTGATAAAAACTGCACTGACATCAGAATGCATAAGCAATAGTATTACTTACTATTGGAATAAAGCTTACCTGACAGGAGTTCCCATGGGGAACTATTGAGCATCCCAGGACACAAAGGAAGAGCCTCCTCTAACCTCCCTCCCCTGTTAAGTCATATTTATATTGTTCTCTTCAAGGATGGGGGGAAATGTTTCAGTTGACATAATTTCACACTTAAATGGCATTTGAGTAACTTTATATACATGTAAAGACTGTACAGGTTTTACTTTGCTAGCATACTACATGGGGCATGAAAAGGAAGATGTGTTTCCAAGTTCAAGCAAATTTCAGCTTTTGGTCACCATTTTGGTCATTCCTCCAGCTTAAGTCCTGTTAGATATGTTGTTTTAAACAGAGAATGACTGCAACACCTCTCTGCAATTCCATCCTTTGTTTCTTGCCTCTCTCAGACATGAACAAGCTCCCCTGGTGTCCCTGCTCCTCAGGCGTGCACAGTTTGTTGAATTACTGCCAGTGTGCACACTCCTCCTTGCTGAGTCTTTTGACATTTTTCCACAGAAAGTGCCTCAGCACAGCGTGTGGCAGAACAGCTACACCCACCCCATCAGAAGATGTCCCATCTTGAGAGTCACATCCTTAAACCAAGGGGTCTGAGCAAATGAAAAAGGAAATTTGGGTTGAACTTCACCTTGCATTTGCCAACACACAACACATCAGTACATGTCTATTTATTTTATAGCTCCACTGTATTATTGTCTTTTGTATTGCTATAGTACAAAGGTATTCCCAGGTGACATAAAAGATACTGTATCTTTTCATCAGATACTGCTGTATCTTTTCATGAGATACTGCACCTCCAGGTGGACAGGGGCACATTCCACAGCAGCATGACATCTAGAGCCATGGGATTTCTGTAAATGAAAAGCCCAAGTGCTTGTCCTAGCCACTAGCCCACAGAGAAATCTTAATTGGTGAGGTTGGATATGGTCAAACAGAACTACAAAATTATCAATCCAATTTGAAAAAGACTTGGTCACAATTTATGATTACACTGTGCACCTGTCCTACTGTTAGACAAAATTGTCTAATTTTGTAATTGAATGGAAAATTACTTCTTAGCACTTAGCAGGGAGTATGGGCAGATTCCCACAACATATTAATCATGTGAGTGTTGACTGTAATGGTACTACTCAGTGAAGTGTGGGCTCCTGTCCTGAGGCCCCATGACTTTGAAGATACCCTCCTGCATTTTCTAGCTGAGATACATTCAGTAACATGTATCTCTGCCGTTGCAGCTCAGTGCAAAACAATTTCTGATAATAACTAAAGCATTTACATCATTCTCCACATCCAATGCAGGTACATAAGAAGTTGTTTGAACTTCTTTTAGTAAAGAAAGAAATATATATGCCTAGAGAGAAAGTGTAGTTGCTAATTTAGGCTCCAGCTCTGGCCTGCCATTCTGCATCTCTGTTTTTCCACTTTTAGGGAACCATGAGGTGAGCATATAATGTGAACACCTTAAGTTTAGATGCCTAGAGTTTTTCTTTTGTCTCAACATGCTATGGGATACAGTGCAATGCAGCACATAGTGCCCTTGCAAGGCTTGGGTTGTGCCATTGGCCTGTGGGCTAGCAGGGGATAAATCATGTCACCCCTCTGTTTCTCACTTTCTCCTGCATCAAGCTCTAAAGCAGCCATCTGCCTTATCCCTTGATACCTGGGTATGACAGGGTACAGCTTGTGCTGTTGAAGGAGAAAAGGTTTGACACCGACTGACTCAGAAATTTTATTATCCTCTCATGACTGTAATGTCAAAACAATTTAGAAGTAAAAGATGATGATGATGATGATGACGGTAATAAAGAAAGGAGTGCTAATACCAGTGAAGGTAACAGGTTGGTCAGATATCCCTCCAAAGAAAAGGTGGTATCCAGATTATGTCCCTGACTGACAATAATCTGGTTTGATTCTCATTGTAGTTTTTGGCAAGGACTTGCATGAGCAGTAGCACAGGGGGAGCAAATAGCAAAGGAGATAGTGTATTCAGGCTGCAGAAATGTGAAATAATACACAGCAACAAATTAACTCCAGGTGTTTCTCTGTGATATATATGAACCTTTCCCTTATGTCAATGGCTGAACTTTATCAGATATTATTTTACCTGGCACTCTTACCACGTAAATAATGCCTAATTTACCTAACATTCCTTACACTGACAAATAGTCTCGTGGAACACTGGCAATGCAATAATCAAACCCACCTAACCCAGCTGTGTGTCTCTATCAGCCCAGATCTGGGTACACTTTATTAGACCTGTCCAGTTTCCTGAGCATTATGGTGCATTGCTTATGGTAGTCTGGGAGATGGAAAAGTACAAATTTAAAGTAGGGATGTACTTGCATGCCTCAGACAGACTGACTTTTTTGAATATTGAAAATAAACTGATGAATCTCTGAAAGGTATACATTGTGCTTGGATCTTGTATGCAGGCAGAAGTGTTAATTTAAAACTATATTTTCACATCAGAAACATAAAATCAAGTACAGAAAATTCAAGCTCAGGCTAGTGATGCACTATTCACAGTGACATGAAAAGGAACCTCTAATTTTCACTTCTGGACTGAAACCAGATTTATTTGCTCTGCCTTTACAGTACACACATGCAGAGATGATAATTATAGGCAAGAATGTTGATCCAAAGCCTACTGATATCTGCTGTCTTTGCAGCAGATAAAAGCTTGTGTCCACGCTGAATGAGACAGTTGCTCTGCACCACAGTGCTGTATGAAGGATGCTGGAGACATTCTGTTTATATACATAGAACTGTTTTTGTAAATTAGGGGTTAATAATCAGTGACTCTGTTGTCCTTGTGGAACTCACTGTACTGTTTAAAACTCTCACAGAGTAAATGGGACACACAGAAAACGTCCACACAAGAAGTTGCCATTAATGTTACAAAAAGCATCAGACAAAGTGACAGGAGAAAAACAAAGAATTGTGCCAATTAATGAAGAAAATTGCAGAAGAGGATGGACTTAACAAAGCTTCGCTGCACTTTAAATGTCAGTGGCTGAAGACATGAAGATCTCTAGGTGTTCCAGGTTGAATACAGCAGGCAGCTGCTACTGAGTGCCTCCAGAAGCAGGTCTTGTGGAAACCAGCTGCAAGCACTGTAGACATTACAGTGTTTGTCTAAAGACAGACATAGTCATTTGTCTAAAGCAGTGGCACTGCACAGACATACACAGAAATTCATTATATTTGGTTTTTACCAACTTCCATGTTATCCCTTGTGTACGTCCTGTTCCACATTGCCATTAAGATGAGGCTGGATAATAAGGGGTACAGCTCATCACAATTAAAACCAGGAAATGAACAAATGAATCTGAATTTTTAGTCATAAAGTTGTTTTGAGTGTGGACATTCAAACCCACAGTTCATTTAAAGCACTCACATATTTTAAAACACAAACCCAGACATCTCAAGAAAGTGAGACTAAAGTCTAGTCTTCCACAAAATCTCTTTTCAATTATATATAGGTTATATATAGTTAAGTCATACAGTAATGTTTTTCTATATTAAATGTTCAATTACTTAGTTTTAATTTATTGTTTGTATTGACATTATTTTGGTCTTAAAAATAGTAACTTTCATATTGATCAGCCTTACTTGAAGGTCCTAGTCTCAACTAGCAAGTAGAGTTGTGGCTACTTGGTTGTTTTATAAATGCCCCTTTGATTATGTTGAAGCCCAGTCTGACTAGGAAAAAAGTTACCATTAACATTACAAGAAAATAACCACAATTTTTAAAGTCACATTCTAATGTCAGTTCAAAAAGTTAACTTTCTTTCTTCAGACATATATCCATATATCCATAATATACATGCATACATATATATATATGTATATATATATATATATATATGGATGTATATTAGTATCCTTAAAGGGCCATTTAACTGTTCAAACAAGCATAAAAGAATAGAATTGTGAATGGAACCCTAGTTTATTCTGTATTAGGATCATTTTAATAGCTTGCTGCTTAGGTGTGTGAGTTACTTTCCTTGTTGTACAACAAGTCTATGCAATAGGAATTGTTTATTAATTACTCCAACAAAAAGGCAAACTGGAATCCAGAGTTAGAGCCAGAATTTTGTATACCATAGCATATTCTAAAAGGATTTGCTGGCAGAGAGAGTGCAGTATAAACTTATATGATACAAGAAAGCTACAGAAAGTGATTAATGATCCTGATGTGTTTAAGGATAAACAGGATTTTGAAGGAAGGCTAAATGGAAGGTTGGTTGGGTAAGAAGCTGTTCCGGAGATTGTGGCCTTGGGTGGATACCACATCAGAGTGAGTAGATGCAAGAACAAAGGAGTCCTGGCAGTGAGAGTATTTATTAGCTAAGAAATAATTTAGTGATGATGTGCTGAGCAGATGTGTCACACAGCTCGGGTCACACCACAGAAGGAAGGCCATGAGCTGCATGGCACATGAAGCTGCCCTGGCTCATGGCAGCAGCCATCAGGGAGGCAGCTCTTGAGCCTTGTACTCCCAGCATGAGCTGTGACAGGATGGCTTGCAGGAGATGGCCTTGGTACACAATTATCTGGGCAACAGCACAGACCTTGCTCATGCTGACCACATCCCTCATCAGGGCGGCAGCTGCAGTGTGCTGGATGCTGCCTGCCCTGCACTGCTCATGATAATGTTCCTGAGCTACTCCAAGATCCCCTGAATCTGTTTATATCCTGAAACTTAACTTTATGACATTCAAAGATTGGATCCAACTTCTGTGGTAAAAGCCATGTTTAGTAACAAGCAATTTTATCCACACTCCCCATGTAATACATTACTGTTCTTATCATTAGGCATTAGTAACTGAAAAGAAATTACATTATGTCCCAGGTGGCTTCTTAGTGTTTGATGTGCAAGCTTCCAATGACCTTAACAAAACTAAGAGCATATTGTGAATATGTAAATCTTGCTTCTGTACACAGATTGGGATATACTTATGTTTACTTTCCTTTGACTAGAGATAACCACAAATAGAAACAACCAATTTATAAAATAATACCCCACTCTGTATAATTAGGGTGACAGAATCTAGTCTGTACTACTTCAGACAATTTAAAGTCCTCATAATGGATTCCCATCTTAGTTTTAGTGGAAGAAGAAAGCCCAAAGAATCATCTGGACATTTTCACTCCAGGTGGCCTTCCTAGAAATGAGGAGTCTTATTTACAGGGTCTGTTCTTTGAGCATCATCTTTCAAATATAAATGGCTCAAAGACATCAAATAAAATAACCACGTTAAAAGACATGAACTTTCAGATGAAGGACCTGTGGGCATCTCTGTCTTATATGTCAGGATTATTTAAATGTAATTTCCCCCAAAAAGGCATTATTGACACATAATTTATTTGATGTCCCTTGGCTGCACGTGAAGATTTCTACAGTTACACTGAAACAACACACTTTCTGCTGGAGGGATTTTCCAACAGATGGTGAGTTCTTGTGATTTATCTAAGTTCAGATTTTAAACAGAAACTTTGTCACATTTCCACAATTCCAACACAATAAATACATAAATACATAGAATTTTCCTATATATCTTGATATATTTTCTTTCACTATGTGACAAACGGAATCATTCAAAATCAAGAGGATATTGTCTAAAGAAGAGAGAGGATTTACAGTTACCAATTCATCATGAGGCAAATTAATCTTCTCAAAGACTCAGTACAACTTTATTTTGCACTATTCCTTCATCTTCTCCCTTACGATTCCTTAACGTATTTCTTCATTTCAGCATCACTGTAGGACACTGAAGGAAGACACACAATTTTAATGTGTGACTGAAATGATTTTGTACTGACATAAATAGGAAACTATAATTATTGTGTAAGCAATATATGAGTACTGCATTAAACATGCATTCTTGTTAGTAGACTTACTGAGATTTCATAAAAAACAGGACACAGGTAGTTTTGATCTTCCTAGTATGCTCATATACATATTTATTTGTGCATGTCTCTGCATGTGTATGTTGTAATGTCTTTAGTGTGTACTTCTGCGCTTCAGGCACATTTTTCTGAGAACCTTTAATTTCTGTTTGTAATTCTGATGCCCAAGTGTAAGATATTTTAATGTTTGAACTGAAATTTGTTTTACATGCTTTATGAAAAGAATGAGATATATCATTTGTGCACAGAAATGGTATTTGAAAAAGCAGGCTTAGTTTTATTTACAAATACATCTAAATTCAAACTAGACTAACGGGAACATTTTTGTACTCTCTACAAATTAATGAAGATTGACCTTAAATTTGAAAGTAAAAATAAAGAACATTTTTAAAGTGTCTGTTTATTACTCCACTTATTTCACTTTTCTGCGTTTGTGGTTGGGTTAGCTTTTAAAGCTGAGATCAAAGAGGGCAAAGGTGTAATGAATGGCACACCTGCTATTCATGGAATCAGAATATTTCTGTATCTGATGTCCTCAGGTTGTGGCTCATGGACTGTTTGTTCATATGAAAGAAGGCAAAATATATATATTCCAATAAGAAATCGGTATATTTGCCAAAGAGGGATTATGAGGTCAAAATACAGTTGTACCTGTGTAATTAGAAATGGGAGAGTTTGTGGTTTCTGTCATGGCTAAAGTGGAAGACAGTGGGAATCTGAGACACTTTGTCTACTAAGATGCCATGATGCAGCTATGAGGCAACTAGAATACCTAGCTACAAAAGCTCTCTTTCCTGCCTGAACTGGAGAGCACAGGATGGAAAAGTACCTGTGGTGTTGTTTGACTTCTGCCATAGAAATAAACTCATAACTTTTACAGATGATGCTTCTTATTTTTTTCCAAAATTGCATGAAATTTTCATTATATTTTTCCTTACTAGCAGAAAGGCTATTGCTGAAATATTCTCCCCATCCTAATTGTCTGTGCCCTTGGGGTTGCCTGACAAGTTGCTTGTTCTCTTTGATTCCTGGCCAGGATGCTGACACAACAACTGGTTTGTTTCCTGTGGAAAAGGAAGAATAGTATCAAAGGAATGGCTTTCAGATGTGCCAAAAAAGAAGGATTTAGGGACACAAGGAAGCTGTAGTCCAGCACTCAGGCATGTAACAGCCCATGGGAACCCTACAAACAGGATGCTTCAAAATCTGGGATCAGACAGTACCTTGCAAGTGGAGCCTTTGAACTCAATACACTGTTTAGTTTTGAAACACTAAACTTTCATTGTGCTCAGGCCAAGCATCCCTCATTGACCAATGCCTTCTCAGATGCCTGCTTTCCAGACTGTCTCTGTGAGGCATGTGGAAAGGGTGCTAGCAAGAAATAAGGTGTACTGTAAGATGCAGGGATGCAAGATCTCATTCTGCCCTGTTACCACCCTCTAGTTTTCAAATATTTCCTTCTGAGTTTCAATTTTTTATTTTTCAGCTAGCCTGTGCATACTATGCATAGTTAAAAGTCATTCTTCTGCCCTTTGGTAAACTAATGGCAAAGTTGGGTCATTAATATAAGATAAAAAGTGAGGTGGTCCATCAGAAATTACATTTGTTGACATATGTCACTTAAGATAAAATCCAAGTTTATTTGCAACAGCTCCTTGCACAGAAAATCTCAGCAAACACTAAAATCTAGGAAATACTGAAATCCTAATGGTAGAACTAGGATGTTCATAAGCAAGAAGAAAAAAGGGAGAACATAATAGCTTTTCATTCATTTCTGGAGGACTGAATATCATTTAAGTCCTGAGTGCAAAAAGTGGGATGCTGCTGTGTATCTGTCCATTCAAGACTGTATAAAACAAGTAGCTTTAGGTTGCTGTGGGTCCCTGCTTAGGAAAAAAATGGGATGGAGGGAGAAAAAGAGAGAGAGTGGTGTCACAGGGCAAGATTGAGCTATGCTGCCAGTTGTATTCATTAGCTTTGCTTGACACTTTAGCATTATAATTAGTGTTATTCAGCTTTAATTTAATTTCCATTAACCTCCGCAAAACACCCACATGTTTGGATACAGGGAAACGTGTCTGGGGTATTACTGCATGGATAGAAAAAACAGTTTGCTCACAGTCAAAAAGCAGCTTAAGAAAAGGCACCATAGCTAAGCAGCAGCCTATTCTTTATCAGCTATGAAGAGCTGTCAGATACAAAAGGCATGAAATTAGTCATGTTCATCTGGTTTTACCAGGAAATTAAATATTGGGGTTGTTCATGTAAGGGAGGGAGAACTTTCCAGGTCACACTTGTAAGTGGCTTTATGTTCAGTTTGCCTGACTCAAGGACTGATTTGAACCTAAAACCTTGGGTGTTGTGGCCTGTGCAGGTCCCTAAACCAGCCCTTCTGCAGTGCAGTTGCATTTCCTTTGCCCTCAAATTAGTTCCCTCCTAGAAGATTTTTTCCACTTTATTATTTTCCTTTTTTATTATTAATATGACATATTTTTTGCAGCACATTATTAGACACATGATTATATTATTGAGAGCATAATTTTACCAATTCAGACGTGGGTCTGAAAACTAAAGCTCATGAGCACAACTGCCAAGCACAGGGACAAAATTAATTCTCATTAACTCACTGAATAGCCACAACCCCACCCAAGCAGTATCATCACCTCTGGGAACTGTTGGGATGTAAGGAGTGCAATATTAATGTACATGTACAGTGTCCTATGCAAATGATATTCATTATCCATATTTCTGACTCAAAACCATCTTTCAGATGAACTAACATGTTTAAAATCATGGTGGAAGCCAACACTTTATACCTATTCCTGCTCTAGCTGGGATTTCATACCTGATAAGGATTTTCTGTCCCTGGTCTGTGCCTGATATCTTTTGACAATTTAGAGGAGTAAT